CGGCATTGGCCGCGGGTTTCGTTCACCCCCCTGCACAGGTTGAGCTTCTGGGCTTGTTACAGCACTAAAAGTTTAGAAAAAGCTTAAAAAAAAATAAATCCCTGTTCTCTCGAGACAAGAACGCTCGGGGCTGAGCCTCCCCCGGGCTGCGGGGGACGATTTTATCTGGCCCGCGCTGGGCTGGCGAACAAAACGCACCGGGTTTTCAGAGGAGCCACTTCATTTTTCCCCCCGCCGCCTCTCCTGGCTCTCCACATCGCCAAAACGCGCCGAAAAGCCTCGTAAATTGGCAAAGCGAGCAAGCCGCCCCGACAAATGCCTCGAATTAATTACGGAAGGCTTTTTTCCTCCCGCAATCGAGGACTTAAACGCTAGATCATAGGCTAGGGATTGTTATTGTTTGTTTTTTTTTTTTTTAAAAAGAATCAAATTATGGTCGTGGAAAGGAGATGTATTTTTGCGCCGGAGCGCATGAAATCTCCGTGACCTTAGCCGAGGCGCGGGTTATTAATTTGAATTCTTTAATTGATCGTCACGCGTTCGCGGCGCGGCCGTCGCCTGCGTGGCCCGGCCGTGCCCTCGCCCCTCTCCATCCCAAAAATTCACCGCGCGGCGCGGTGGCCTCTACGTGCCGGTGGCCTCGATGGCCGGACAGACAGACGGACAGCCTCTCCCTCCGCGGGTCTGTAGGCTCAGGGGAGATGCGGACGAGGCAGGAGGGGACGCGGTGCCGCGTTGCCCTCTCCCGCGCCTCCTTACAGGCGTTAACTTACCCGTAAGTAAGCAAATTTCCAAAAAACTCATCAAACGGGTTGCTGCATCTGTCACTTTCCATCTTTACCAGGCCGGCGCGGAGCACGTATCGTGGCCGCTCGCCGAGGCGCCTCTCCCGTGGAGAGGAGCGCCCGTCTCCTCGTTACGGCCGCCGACTAATTGCCGTTTTTCCCCCCCCCGCAGCCTTGCGTTAAAAGCTCGCCGTCCCGAGACCTCCCCTCGCCGCCGCGCCTGTGAGGGGTCGGAGACCGTCGTGCCCATAGGTACGTGCCTGGATTTCGGGTTTCCTCGCCTCGGGAGCACCCGGCGCTGGTGGGAGACGCCCCCGCGGGCGACGTTAGGGGGTCAGATGGGTTTTTCTTAGAAATAAGAATAAAATTGCCCCATGGAGAGGAAATGCTGGTGCTGGCCCAGGCCTGCGCCTGCAGCGGGGCCGGAGAAGAGCAGAGCTCGGGTTTTAATGAGAAAGTACTTCGCAATTCCCTAATGCTCCTCGAAGTACGCTCTTTGTTTTGCCTTTCTCCTGGAAAAGCCAGCGCCGGGGGGGGCAGCTCCTGCTCGAACGGGGCCGCGTCACCCGTCGGTCCCTCCGTTCCCCTCAAAAATGCTTCATTAGTCCTCGCTTCCTCGTTAGCCGCAGCAAGGGGAGAGGGAAACGGCTCCCGCAGCCTCCGTTTTCCTCCCGGGGTGGAAAGCGAAAGATTCCCGAGGGCTGGAAGGGCTTAACTCGGGGATCGATCCCCGCCCTCGGCCGTGGGGGGCAGCTCTCGGGGCGCCTGCGGGCGGGCCGGCCCCGCAGCCCAGCTCCCCGCCGCCTGCAAACGAGAGGCCCTGCGGCTGTAAAAGCCGAATTTGCGCGGTACCCGGCGCTGGCAGAGCTGCCTGGCAAAACATGAACCGCAAAAACATGAGCGCGGACGGCCCCGAGTCGCCTTTCTGTTCCCTTTACCGTTGGCGCGAACGCTGGCGCCGCTGCCGCTCGCGGTCCTGTCGCCGTTCCGAGGCTGGCGAGGCAGCGGTCAAACGGTTCCGGACGTGCCGGCGAGTGGCGTGAGTATTGAACATTCATTTCTTTTAAATCGGGGAAACGTAAAGCCCGAAGAGCCGTAGCGGGTTTGTTCCAAGACAAGGGACGCGCCCGCGTCCTTCGGAAGCCGCGTGAGGAGCGGGATCACCCGAGGAGGAGGGAATCCCCGGAGCGGAGGCGAGCGTGCGGCTTTTCACGAGCACCCACGAGATGTTTTAATTGACGAAGGGCGCTTCCTTTCGCCTCCGAGGAGGTTTCCTGCCGCCCGTGCCAGCGTGGGACGCCCCGTGGCCGTGTTTTGGGAAGTTTCCCTCCCCGTGCCAGCGTGGGACGCCCCGTGGTGATGTTTCGGGAAGTTTCCCTCCCCGACGGCTGCTCCGTGTCCTGGGAATCGCTGCCGTTTCGCTCAAGTCTGGATTTTCCAGCAGGAAACGAGCGTGAACTTGGGAGGCCGCCTGCCCTTTTCGTGGCCCGCAGATCCTTCAGATGATTAAATCCGTGGGTTTGGCGCTGCTAGGGAGCCGGACGCATTTCGGACGAGGGGAGAGGGAAGTTTTTCAGGCGCATTCTGCTTTTTAAGAGCCGTTTTGCACCTTTTTGTGTGAAAACCCGAGCGCCCGAATTCCCCCGGCTCTGGGACGGGCGTGAGTCCGAGAGCTCCTGCGGTCTGAGGCGCGATGGCTCCTTTCAACGCCGTGTTTGTGGGAAGCGCTTGGCTCCGCCGTGTTTACCGCCGGCACGGGAGGAAAAGGAAAAATAAACACCCGCAACCACAAATTGCCGGAACAAATCGGGATGAGGTGCCGCCCGGCCCCGGCTGGCAGAGGCTTCGGGAGGGAGGGCTGGCGGCTCGGCGAGGGATCGGCTGCCCCGCGCTCGTTAGGCTTCGTCCTGAGCTCAGAGAGGAGCCCGTTAATTACGGCTGTTCTGGAGACCCCGTGCAGCCGGAACGTATCTCCCGTCGCCTCTTAAAATCCTTTTGATCCTTGAGGAACGTCCCGGATTTGTGCCGCGGTGTTTCCGGGGAAGATGTAAAGCAGGAGGAAACGCGCAAGGTGAATCCCGGAGGAGCTGTAACGTTGCCTGACCTGAAAAAAGGAGCAATTCCCCCTTCCGCCGTCCCCTGGCCGTGGACGGCAAGCCCAAGCCTCACAAATTTCTTTCCCCCCGAGCCCAGGATTTCTGCGGATTTAACTCCGGGATGGAGGGCGGCTCCGTCGCAGGGAACGCTGAACGCGTCTCCGGCCCCGCGGCCTCCTCCGGGCCACGCTGCCGCCTTCGGTTACGGTTCCTCCTCGCTCTCGCAGCTGCAGGATGCGACGGAGCGTGAAACCCAGACGCGGATTTGCCTTCCCAGCTGGCCGCAGGCGTTCCCCTGCCCTGGCGTCGCCTGGGCGGGTGCCGGTGGCACCCAGGTGTTTCTCCCCGGCCTCGCCGCTCGGAAAACCACCAGCTTTGGGCGCGATCGCGCCGCGTCCTTATCTTACGTCGAGTTTAACGTCTGTCACCTCCCTCGGCGGCAAGTGAATCTTTTGATCTGGCTCGGGCGGCGAACAGGGATTTTTCCGTCCCGGAGAAGCTGCGGCTGCATTTTTAGGTGAAAATGGGGTGACGCTGCCGAGTCCCGGCCCCGCGGCTCGTCCTGCCGGGCTCTGCGGTCGGAGCCGAGGACGGTCGCTGTTCTCCTGCGTCAGCTGGGCCTTGCGTTTGTCGCAGCCATCTGCAGTCTTAAAAAAACCCCCGCGCTCCCCCTTTTCGCTGTATTTTGAAGTCAAAATCATTTCTGCCGTCGGCAAACCCTCGTTGGGAGTAGCGTAGTCCGGCTGGGAGGGACCTGGGATCATCCCGCCCGCTCGGACAGCGCCAACGTCGTCGAGGGCATCGCCGGAACGCGGCTCCGCCCGGCGGCGCTCCGTCCCAGCCGCGGAGTCGGCCTTCGCTCTCGTTAACTTTCACGCCGTTGACGATCACCCAGTGCTCTGATCTACCCGGATCCCTCCGCACGGCCTCTCCTCCCTCCGGCGAGCCGACGGCGCCTCCCAGTTTAATATCAGCAGCAAACTGGTGCGTTAACTCCTGCCTCCGGGTCACGGATAGGGAGATCGAGCAGCCGGACCTGCCCCCTTCGCCGCGACCCTCCCTGCCCCCTCCGCCGCGCCCCTCGGCTCAGCCGGGAGCCCCTCGGCTCGCGGGCCCTCGCGGCCCCAACAGCTCCCAGACGGCGACGTCGGTCGTAATTATCGGTCAAAACGAGATCCGCTCCCCGCGCAAGCCCCCCGAGGCAAAAATCCCCCCGTTCCATCTTCCATCAAACCTCGCTTGGAAGGGGGAATAAATTAAATCTGCTGTCGCTCGCCCGACAGAGAAGTTCGCTTTCGTTTCTGTGTAGTTTGGATTATTCTTGCGATTGCAGACGCGAGATTTCCCGCAGCTTTGGGTGGAATTGGCCCCGCTTTGGGACCGGCGGATGGATTCGGGCTTCTCTGCGTCCCCAGCCTGCGCGCTGTCACCGCGAATACGTTTCCAAACCCCGGACTGGGACGGGCGTCTCCTGTGCGATGTCTGAATTAACCAGAAATTCCAGTTTCTCGTGCGAGAGCGACGCTTTTCCACGCAGATTGCGCGTTTAACTTGAACGAGTCCCTGGGCCGTTTAAGTCCTGGATTTCGGTGCTTCCCTGCCCGCTTCCAGCAGGATGTTTTGGCTTAACCCGCGTCTCCGGAGTTGGGCTTGCTGGAAGCCGAAGCAAGTGCGAGACGACGTGAAATCAATTTCAACATCTGCGGAAAAAAATCGCTCCCAGAACCGGTGCAAAACCGCTTCAGTTGGAAAAAAAAAAACCAAAAAACGCTTTCCACATGGACCGGATAACGGCGTGCTGTCTGCTCCTGCCCAAATCCCGGGAATGCTTGGTGCTCACGCCGCGAGGACGACGGATTCGGAAGCGGGTTTCTCGTTCCTGACGCCTCCGGCTTTGCAAAGCCGGCGAGGCTGGGGTCGCTGACGCGTTCTCGGGTCGTTAGCAAGGGCTTTGCTCCCGGTAGCGTCCCCAGCGCGAGCGCGTGCGGGCGGCCGCCCAGACCTAATCCTAATTTCCCTTTTCTGTGCCCGGTTCGGGGGCTCTTCCAGGAGCCGCGGAAGCTCCGGCTGAGACGAGCTCCCCGGCGACAGGACCCCTCTCCCGCCGCCCGCTGCGAAGATGTCGACTCCGGATCCTCCGATGGGAGGAACGCCTCGCCCGGGGCCCTCTCCGGGGCCGGGCCCGTCGCCGGGGGCCATGCTGGGACCCAGCCCCGGCCCCTCGCCCGGCTCCGCGCACAGCATGATGGGACCCAGCCCCGGGCCGCCCTCGGCGGGGCACCCGCTGCCGCCTCAGGGGCCGGGGGGCTACGCTCAGGACAACATGCATCAGATGCACAAGGTGAGGGGGCTCCGGAGGCTGCCGCCGGGCGCCGCTTCGGTCGGACGAGGGGGAGCGGGGGCGGTCGCTTCGTTTTCCTGCCCGTTTACTTTTTTGGATGCTCACGCATCGTATGTCTCTCGGGACGGAAAGTCGGAGAAGTTAACGGTTTCTTTCAGAGTGGAGTTTACGCGTTTTGCTCGCCACAGCTGTCGGAGTGCCCTGCCTGCCTCTCCAGCTCGCTTCCGATTGCGAGTGGGGGCTGAGGAGTTGAACTCCTAACTGAGAAAGGAGAGGGAAACGTCTGATAAAGGTTTCTTTCGCTGGGAATTTGGAGCCCAGGGAAACCAAGCCTCCCTCCTCCCTTTCCGCTTCTACCGTCAAAGCGCTTGGGGATTTTTGTTTTGTCATCTAAAACCCCTTTTTCTCAGTTTTTTCGATCCTCTTCAGCTGAAAGACCCAGGGCAAAACCGCCCAGGCAAAGCACTGAAGCAATTTCAAGTCTTTTTTAACGTCCTCGTGTGCTTATTCCCTTCCCCACGATCCGTGCGGGGGGTTCGCTGTGACCCGCGGGATTTTGCCAGCAAATAGGTTTTGTGTTGAGGAGGGTGTCGGTGGCGTCTGGGCGCGGCCGCTGCGGGCGGCGAGCCCTCCGTGCCTTCGGCGCAGGGAACGCCGCCGGGGCCGGCGCAGCCGAGGCTTTGGGGTGGATTTTGGGACCTTGCTTTTCTCCTGCAGCCCATGGACCCCATGCATGAGAAGGGAATAACCGACGATCCTCGCTACGGCCAGATGAAAGGGATGGGAATGCGGCCCGGCGGGCACGCGGGAATGGGTCCTCCTCCGAGCCCGATGGATCAACACTCTCAAGGTCGGTTTCTTTAACACAAATAAGATTTATTTTGGTGGGGATGGGGCCGGGGATCAGCCCGGAGCTCCCAGAGCCCCCGTGGCTCCTCGCTTCCCTCCCCTCTTCACGCGTACACGGGGCGCCCGTTAGGGTGGTCGGGAAAACGAGCAAGGAATTGCACGAGGAGGTCGAGCTGGGCGAAGGGCCCTCCGTCCCTCCTCGTGTCCCCGTCCCCCGCCCCGCGATCGCTGCGGCGTCCTACGCCGCGCGCGCCGTTCCCAGGCAGCCGCTCACGCCCAGGAGCTTTCCTTGCTTTAAATCGCTGGTTTGGGGAAGGATTTAGCGCTGCGGGGTTAAAGCCGGTGCAGGCCCCACTGGGGAGGAGAAGTTTTCTGTGGGTTTTTTTCCTCTTTTTGACTCGGCCTTCCCGCCGCCGCCAGCGCTTTGCTCCCGTCTAACCGCCTCTCCCCCTCCAGGTTACCCTTCTCCGCTCGGCGGCTCCGAGCACGCCTCGAGTCCGGTTCCGGCTAACGGTCCGTCCTCCGGCCCTCAGATGTCCTCGGGCCCCGGAGGAGTCCCCCTGGACGGCACTGACCCCCAGGCGCTGGGGCAGCAGAACCGGGGCCCGACCCCTTTTAACCAGAACCAGCTGCACCAGCTGAGAGCTCAGATCATGGCCTACAAGATGCTGGCCAGGGGCCAGCCCCTCCCCGACCACCTTCAGATGGCGGTGCAGGGGAAGCGACCCATGCCTGGAATGCAGCAGCAAATGCCGACACTACCTCCGCCCTCCGTCTCCGGGACAGGACCAGTGCAAGGACCAGTGCAAGGGCCTGGACCGGGACCGACACCTCCAAACTACAACAGACCTCACGGTGAGCGCTGCCCCTTCGCCGGCTGTTGGCGGGAGGGTGTTTTACCCCGGTTTGGCGCGGTTCGACGCTCGCCGCCGCCCTGGCGTCGCCCGGTTTGGGTTTTCCATTTGCTCGCCTGATCCGATCCGTGGCCGTTAGCTTTCCAGGGGCGGGGACTTCGGGTGCATCCCACCGGCCGCTGGCGAAGCAGCAGCCCGGCTCCTCCGGGCAGTCTGGGGTGCGGGAGGGCCGCTTCGCCCCTCGGCGCCGTCCCTGCTGACGGGGGGCACGCCCGGGGGGTTATGCGCTTGCAAAAAGGCGGGCCTGCCGGGCAGGCTCTCCTAGGCGGGAGGATAAACTTTGCTCCCGGTTAACGCACGCAAAGATCAACAGCCTAACGTGGTTTTTTCTTTTTTCTTTCCTTTCTGCCTTTTCTTTGGGCCTTGCAGGTATAGGAGGGCCTAACATGCCCCCTCCC